GCCGGCCTCTCGTCGGAGCTGGAGAGGGCCTCGAGCCAAGTGAAGGGCTTCTCCCAGGCCTTGGCCAGCCTGCAGGCCGAGCGAGACCGCTTGATGAGCCAGCTGGACAAAACCCGCAAGACGGAGGAGGTGAAGCTCCAGTCGGCCGCCAGCGTCTCTTCCAGTCTGGCCGAAACATCGAGCCTCAAGAAGGCCCTCTCCTCCCTTCAGAACGACCGAGACCGGTTGGTAAGTCTTGAACCTCTGCTGTGGTGGTCAAGGAATGCGGAGTAACAGAGTCCTGGAGGAACAGGGAAAACCCCCTGGGGAAAGTTCCTAGAAGGGTAAAAGTAAATACTCTGAAGAAAAGTTACAGTAATCACAAAAAGCGGGCTTGATCTACCGTGTGTCCCCGAAAATAAGACAGGGTCTTATTTTCTTTTTACCCACAAAATATGGCTTGGGCCTTTTTATGAGGGGAGGGTTTATTGTTTTGGGGCTGCTCTCTTGCGAACGGGCTCCCAAAGAGCCGCGCACAGCCTCAGGGGCGAATGGCTATGTTGTGCTGTCGCAGCAGCGCAACACAGCAGCCATGAAGCGACCACGCTCGGTAAACCCCCTTTCCAGCCGGGCACAGCGCCATTCACTGACCTAGGGGTATCGCCAAGCCGTGTGAGCGCCTGTTTGCCGCCGCCCAGATCCCGTGGCTTGGCGCCTTTGAAATGGCGGTGAATGACGCTCTGTATGGCTGGAGAGGGGGGTTGCGCGAGCGGCTGTTCCGCTCTGGCTTGCCCGCCTCCCAGCCTCACGATGCCCTGCTCAGCTCCCCCTGCAGAGGAAGAGCACCTCCGCCGCCGCATGGCTTTTTCAGCGGCTTCCAAACCGAGTTTTCCTGCAGTGGCCGCTCTGAGCGTACGCTCTATGGTTGTACGCTCTGCCGGCAGCTGACCCACAGCCATAGAGCATACGCCCAGAGCGGCCACTGCCGGAAGACTCGGTTTGGAAGCCGCCGAAAAAGCCATGCGGCGGAGACAGCGGAGGTGCTCTTCCTCTGCAGGGAGAGCTGGGCAGGGCATCGTGAGGCTGGGAGGCGGGCGAGCGGGAGCGGAACAGCCGCTCGCACAACCCCCCTCTCCAGCCATGCAGAGCTGTGATAGCTAGGCGGCGGCGAACAGACACTCCCGCGGCTTGACAATACCCCTAGGTCAGTGAATGGCGCTGTGCCCGGCTGCAAAGGGGGTTTGCCGGGTGGCTGCTCGTGAGCTTGGTTGTTTCATGGCTGTTGTGTGGCGCTGCTGCGACAGCGCAACATAGCCATTCGCCCCTGAGGCTGTGCCCGGCTCTTTGGGAGCCCGCTCGCAAGAGAGCAGCCGCCGGCAACCCCAAAACAATAAACCCTCCCCTCATAATAAAGCCCTAGCCATATTTTGTGGGTAAAAAGAAAATAAGACCCTGTCTTATTTTCGGGGACACACGGTAGGTCAAAGAGAATAGTAGTAAGATTGTTGTTGTTATGTAATTATGTAAATGGAGAGAAACTAATCAAGGAGAGAAGCAACTTAGAAAAGAGAAATTTCCTGACAGAACAATTAATCAGTGGAACTACTTGCCTCCAGAAATTGTGAATGCTCCCAACACTGGACGTTTTAAAGTAGATGTTGGACAAGCATTTGTCTCAAGTGGTGTAGGGTTTCCTGCCTAAGCAGGCGGCTGGACTAGAAGACCTCCAAGGTCCCTTCCAACTCTGCTATTCTACTCTATTCTACTCTACTCTAAATTATAGTATATTGTTAATTGTAGAAAAACTGAAAAGAAATGCTCTCTATGTTTAAATTGAACCAGAAGATATATGTTGGTTTCTAGTGAAATATATAAATGGAGAAAATAAGAGATGGAAATTTGATGTAAACCTTGAAGGGGCAATTGAAGATATTGTTTATGTATAAAGAAAAAATAAGTACAAAGATGAAAAAAAAAAATAGAAGGGGATAATTTGGCTGAAAGTGAAAACAAAACTGATGTAAAATGCGTTGTGTCATTGAGAGGATGTAGAAGAAAAGACCCAAACATTTTGTTCCTATAATAACTATGATTTGTATTAAAAAATGAAAAAAACCCTTGAATTAAAAAAGAAAGAATAGAGTCGGGAGGGGCCTTGGAGGTCTTCTAGTCCAGTGTTTCTCAACCTTGGCAACTTGAAGATGTCTGGACTTCA